GGTTAAAGCGCCTTCGACTCGCACATATGCCACCGCGCCTATTTGCGAGACAGGCTATCTGGTTACGTCCTTCCGTATCCCCCTCCTTCTCTTGAATCCTCGTTTTTAAACGGGACTCTCTTTGATTTTTCCTTTCTTTAAAGATAAATAATTTCCCGGCGATTGGACGTAACAGTAATTATTGTTAATGAAAGCCTGAATAATGCAGAAATGTCCAATTTAGAATAATGTATTGAGGAATAGTTTAGAAAAAATTAAATTATCCACGCATCAAGTACTGCGTTAATAATTCTAATTGTCTATCCAAATTGCTAATCGTCTTTATTATGTGCTTAATTGTGAAAATGTGACTTGTTTCGTACTTATCAGAGTTGTAAAAATGGACGAAAACTAAAGCTATTATTGAATTTTATACATAAAAACATATTTTTCAACTACTGTCAAACCGTGAGTTTTCTTGCCAAAATAGGCTCCACTTTACATGCCTTTTACGACCATTTATTGACTGCGTCAGGGGGGAAAAGAAGTTTTCATCCATTTTTACTAGTAATTTAAAGCGATCAAATTTTGTTATTTTATTTAAATTTTCTTTGTTTAAAAATGACACGCAACAAACTTTTGTGTCATTTCTCGCTTATGACGTCACGATTCCAATGCCGTGACTAGGCAGGAGCTTTAAAAATATTTAAAATGCATGTTTGAATCAAGATAGTAGACAATAGTTAATGTTAATGTGGACGTAGTTAACGACTTACCACTTGCTGCAATGTTCTGTTCAAATTTGCTGGCTAAGTGCCGGCGTATCATTAACATTTTGTTTATTGATTAATTTTCACTAATACAATCTAATTCCAGGACGTACCGGGCTTGCTTCAAAGATTAATGTGCACATAAGTATGGCGTTCGTGAAGAGCATCCGTACGATTATCAAGCCCCAGATATCGCTTAGCATGCGGCTGCATCGCAGTAACTGGTGATGTGTCTGTACGCACGTACCCAAGACCTCTATGAACGTTTCCCGGATGCACGATTTCATCAATTTGGCGGACATGGCCCGCAGTATCGAAGAAATCTGAAATGCATAGTAGCCGAAAAGACTGTCGACGCTGCCAACGGTGAAGATCATCCACCAGCAAGTGGATATCTGGTATAGGAGATGTAGATAAAAAGGAAGACCACTGTCGATTGGCGTGGTCCATGGAAACTTCGTTGGAAGCGGTAATGTGTATCTTTTAGGTTCGGTATGATGAATAATCTGATGAATTATGGAGATCAATGATGGACAGAGGATCAGCAGTACCGTTGTTCCCAGAGTGAAACACAGAATGTAAGATGGTCTATCAAATGTGTGTAAAGTGGCGAGCATAATCGCCTCGGTTTCTCGATCTTGCGCCAATTCTCGTTCGAAGAGATTGTTCAGCGTATTGTGAAGCTCCATCAGTTTTTCGCGTTTCACCAGAAAACAAGCCGACTGAAAAAAGACAATAGACACATCAGTTACATATTTCGACTTAAGGAAGTGACTGACTAAGATCTTCTCTGGTAAACGTTTTTTTTTTATAAAAAAATCTCATAATATTTTAAATAATTTTTTAAATCTTAAATTTATAAAGATTAAAAATTTTTTTTTAAATACTTTAAAGTTTTTTTAAACTTTTTCAAATATAAATTTTCTTCAGCAATTATGGAAAAAGAAAGGAGGAGGGTCTATAAGGACCGATTTCGACCCCCTCCAAATTTTGTCCAAACTCACGAAAATCTATATTTTGAAATCAATTACATTCTTCAATTCGAGTGATTCCAGCTTAAACAGAGCGAGGGCCCTATTTATTCGGAAATCAATATTTTGATTGTCGTATTAGAAGATAATTTTAATTATTCTGGAATGGCGAAGCTTTCTCAATCTTCTTTCTTTATGCATTTGATGCCAACACTTTTAAATTAAATTATACATGCCAATAAATATCTCAGACAGACAGAATCAATATTTGCCTTTGTGTGTAAACTATTAGTAAATCAGTGTGTTTGTGTGTGTGTGTGTGTGTACACGCGCGTATGTTTGAAACTACGAAAGCACTATTTGTGTACATCTTTTGCAATATACAATTCTTTTTAGAAAATTATATAGTTGTCCAGAAGCTCATTTATTTGTGGGTTTATCGTGTCATAATGTCTGTTAAGAAGATGCGGGCTTGCAAGCTCAATGCGATATTTTGTGAAAACCAATGCCTTTATTGTTTTTTGTATAATACAAAACAAACGTCCTTGCTTCTTACTCAAACTGCGAGCTTACTACTACTACTTGACTCTAACAGAGGGCGCTGGCCGGTAATCTTACATACATATGAACGAAATCAAGCTAATGGAAATAAATGAACTGAATATTTGATTTAAAGAGATTAAATGAATTAACATAAAAAAAATGGATAGCAATCAAATCGCGCAAAAATCTTACCAATGTCATTTTGAGATTACAGTTCTCAAATCTCGAATTATCGAATCTTTTCTGTTTTGTGGATTCTTCGAGCAGTGTATTTATTTTTATTTCATTATTATGGCTCGTGGACATTGAAGCGCGATCACGAGGCGAACGCTATGCGCTTTGTTTCCATTGAGTAAGTCATACTTTAGCCGATTGCTATCTCACGTCAGCAAGTATTGGGGCACTCGACTCATTTACGCGCACCCCGTGACCGTACACAAACGTCAGACTAATTACTTATTATTATTCTAGTGTCCGTTGTTCAAACAGTTCTTTTCAGAACTACTTATCGGATATTCCTATCCCATAAAAAAAACTTTTTAAAAAAAGAAAAAATATACGCCAAGTACATAAAAAATGTCGCATATTACATTCTTTCTAAAACTAAGAACAATTTTTTTTAAATGATTAAGGTAAATGTCCCTATTTGTGACCATGTAAAATAATGGCACAAATTAATAAAAAAAAGAAAGTATTTTAGAGTGATTAAAATAAAAAAATAATTATACCGAATACAAGATTATTTTTGTATTGAAAAATTTATTTCATTTGAGTTTTAAACATAATCTAATAAATATAAAAAAAGAAATTGCAAACTATGAAAATAAACGCATTAGTGACTGCCTGATTTCAATTTGACCCTATTAGTGACCGGTACATCAAATATCAAATACGGATTTTGTGACCGGCGGATACATTTTCTCGCTTTGAAGCTGTGGTCACAAATCGGTACAAAACACATGCACCCGAACAAATCCCAATTAGTGCTTAACCTAAAGTGATAACTTTGTCGCTAAAGTTTTCTTTCGAGCAAAATCGAATATTTTTCCGTTTATACTTGTACAAATGCAACTCACACCCGTTCCGAAGCATATAGAGATGTTAATTATGTTTTTTTTTCTTTTTAGCAGTAAAATTTACTGTTATGAGTAATTTTCTTGAGCTGATCACATTTACGGACATGCGTGTTTTGTTGTACCTATTTATAATGTTCGCCTATATACTCAAAATTACCAACCTTTTTCGGAATCCACAAGTAGTACAATAATCTTTAATTATTCACTGATCGAATAATCCTCACTTTTCTTTTGAACACTTGTTTTTCATGCTGTAACGACTCTGTGACTGTGCCGTGACAAACGCACTAATGTGACGACAAACATGCGCTCGATCTGCCACTGATGGTGATACGAGCGTCTTATTTCTTATTTTCACAAGTATTTGTTAGTTAAATATTCTTGACCAATATATCAAACTGTGGCTCAGTAATCACCAACCGTGATAAATATTTTTTTCAAAAATGAATTACTTAAAACTTCTGATTAATTAAAAAAAAGTTCACGAATAGTCACAAATAGGGTCATGGTCACAAATAGAGACATTTACCTTAAATATACAATAATTTAAAAATTATTTAAAAATTGATTGATCAAAAATAGTCGTAAAATAAATAAAATTAGCCAAGTTATTAAACTAGTCTCAATATTTAAAAAAGTGTTTATTCAAAAAAGCCTCAAAAAAGCTTATTTGTGAAAAACATTCAAAAATTCAAAAAATGGAAAAATTATGTGACGGTACACTTTCCTTGCCGCTCGGATTATACTCGCCGGAGCCGGGTTCGCAAGAAAGCGTGAGACATCAACTCGTTTGCAAACATTTTTTTATTTAATGACAAAAGATCTTAGCGTCTAAACAGTAAACCTTATGGACTACACGAAATCTTACTGACTAGGATATGTACGGTGACCACGCGACCGGATGAGCACGCGCAGGAGTGTCGCAAATGCGGGGCTATATCGGCCGTCGGGACGGTCGAGCGGAGATCGGCGCGGTGCAGGTACTCGCAGGTCGGCGAGATCAGCACGGTCGCAAGACCCGTCAGTGGGCGCAATCGCTCAGAGTCGGAGGCGGATCTGGCTGGCGACCTGGTCTCACCCTCGGTGAACGGGCGACCCGTTCCACGAGGACGGGGCTCAAAGTAACCCGCGCGCTGTGTCGACCGGGCGACTCGATCCGGCGCGACGGAGCAATCGAAGAAGCGGATGATCCGGCTCTCTCAGCTATGATTCTAGGAGCGGTCTGGTCAGGAGTAGGTGCGGGACGGGACTGCCTATCGTTTCTCGGCTTTGGCTTTTATATATATATATATATATATA